TCACGATGGCGAGCATGTGGCTGAAGCAAGCCTCAACACGGCCAAATGCCCAAATACTGATAACCATCGATGCTGGACCGCATGCAATAACCACGCATATGTCTGGAACGTTTCCCGTTTCTCGGTCCATGCAGATATTCGGTAGCAGACGGTCTCCGGTCACAGATTAGACCGAGCGAAGGTTCTGCTTTGCACGATGTTTATCAGCCGAACGCCCATCATGTACATCATCCCAAACAAGAGGGACTAGGTCCTTAATTGAGATGCCGTCGACCAAGCAAATGTGAGATATTTCAAGTATACCAAAGGACTGTAGACGCCAGAATCTCCGTGATATGGCGTAGCTAGCTATTGAACTGCCCATCTCGATCTTGCTGATATGTCCGATTTGGGCTTGATGGAAATTGTGGAGTCGTCCGAATTATGTTTATATCCCGTGATGACCCATTAATAGATCGATATATAGCCCGATAGCAAAGCGCTCATCTGCCTTAACATTCGTACTGATGAAGTATTTCAGGCTGAGCTTCAGGCGATCGGAGCGCTGATTTGTGGCGCCATTATGGGGTCAATACGTAAAAGCCGAATTCGAACACAGCCAAATCGCGTTTTTGTTGGAAGTTCGACTGATCGAACGCATCAATCTATATCACGATCCCAATCGAATCGAGCTTTCGTCCAGCAATCATGTCTTCTACTACCAATCAATCCGAAATTGACATATCCTCCCTAAAGAGGCGATTTGAAGCAGCGGGACAAGGTCATGTTTTCCAATTTTGGTCAACCCTTTCTCCAGAGGAGCAATCCGCACTCTACGCTCAACTTCAAGCACTTGATGTTGAACGCGTGAATCGTATCTGGCAGATATCTGTAGAAGCTGAAAAAGAGGCTTCTTCAGGTCTTGCTCAAGAGGAGATCGAGCCTCTTCCTGAAAACGCGTTCGATACCATCGTCGGCGCACCTGACAAGGAAGCAGAATGGCGGGCGATTGGCCTTAAGGCTATCGCTGCTGGTCAAGTTGGCGTCCTTCTCATGGCTGGGGGCCAAGGAACTAGATTGGGCAGCTCAGACCCTAAAGGTTGTTATGATATTGGACTACCCTCACACAAATCGCTTTTCCAGTATCAAGCCGAGCGGATCGCAAGGCTACAGTCGGTCGCAGAACGTGAAGCTGGAGCACCAGAGGGATCAGTCGTGATTCCATGGTATGTCATGACCAGTGGACCAACAAGAAAGCCAACAGTGGACTTTTTCAAACGTCATAATTATTTCGGGCTAGATCCAAAGAACATCATATTCTTTGAGCAAGGTGAGTCAGAGTTCAATCTGAAGTGTAATTTGTGCTAAATTTACGAATTTTCCTTATAGGAACGTTGCCATGTCTCACCATGGATGGCAAAATTCTCCTCGACACTCCTTCTCGAATTGCAGTGGCTCCTGATGGAAATGGTGGCCTCTATGCAGCTCTTCGTGCACCCCTTTCATCAGAAACCTCAACAACTGTACTCTCCGACCTTGCGTCTCGAAACATCTCATACATCCATGCATACTGTGTCGATAACTGTCTCGTCAGAGTTGCAGATCCGACATTCATCGGTTTCTCTATTTCCAAGGGGGCGGATGTAGCAGCAAAAGTAGTCCGAAAATGCTACCCCACCGAGTCCGTTGGGGTCGTAGCTCTTAGAGGAGAGAAATTCGGCGTCATCGAATACAGCGAAATCTCCAAGGCTCAATCAGAGCTCCGAGATAAGAAGACCGGGGAGCTAGCCTTCAGAGCAGCAAACATCGCGAATCACTTCTATACGCTCGACTTCTTGAAGCAAGTAGAGTCATTCGAGGATCAGATGGCTTTCCACATTGCTAGGAAGAAGATCCCACACGTAGACCTTGCATCTGGTTCGCTGGTCAAGCCATCATCGCCCAATGGCATGAAGTTGGAGATGTTCGTGTTCGACGTTTTCCCATTCGCCAAGTCAATGATGGTGCTGGAAGTCGAGAGAAAGGAGGAGTTCAGTCCCTTGAAGAATGCACCAGGAACTGGATCCGATGATCCTGAAACCAGCCGAAAGGATCTTCTGGCTCAACAGCTACGATTCCTGGAGAACGCGGGTGCTCAAGTTGCTTCAGACGCAGAAATTGAGATTTCACCCCTTCTGAGCTATGCTGGAGAAGGCTTAGAGAACGTAAAGGGCCGCTCATTTGCGCGCTCGGGCATCGCTGAGAATTTGGAGTCTTTGGATGCTTTGCAGTGATCTAATTTGTTACCTTTTGTTTGGATATTATGTGGACTTGGATAAAATTGAAATGAAATCTCACTGATGACCTTAACTTAGCCTGATTTCAACATCTTAAAAGAATGATGTATAAGCAGTCTAACTGACTGGCTAATTGATACGGTATAGAACAAAAGAATAGGATCAATCGACGGAACCACTATCCAGCCACGCTACTCGAACCATTCACTAATGCAGGAACATTGCTTGGTATAAGAGGCGCGACCAACCCGTTTGACCCATTACTTGGCCTCACTGCTTTCGGCACGTCAAGTCCGAGCACTGGTGCTGTCGTCATCGTCGATGACGGAGTTGGCGGAATATCTGGAGGAGTCTTAGTGCCCCGCTTTTCCAGTTCTTCCCGGAGAAAGGCAAATAGTCGTTGTGTTCTTTCTCCCGTAGGCTATAGCGAGGAGAAGTAAGGGGTTTGGACATGCAAAGTCAAGGAAATGTCGCCTACTTCTCGACAGCAAGATATTAATTTATCCATTAATCTCGCTTGACTATTTTGCATATCCTCCATCTGATGCCGAAGCTGCTGGTTCTGTCAAGGGAAGGTATGCTTAATAACAGCAGTCAAAATGCCTCATCATCCATAGTTCACCTGAGCCTCAGCGACAGTGGCAATCTGCCGTTCTCCTTCAGCCAGCTGCTTCTGTTCTTCTGCTCTTGCCCTCGAAAGTAACACTTCCAGCTCCTTCGACCGTATAACAGTCTCGAAATGTTTCTCTCGTAGCTCATACTGACGGAGGACGTCCTTGAGACGTTCTCGTACTCTGCCAACGCAAACTCGTTGAGTAGCTGAAATGCGCAATACCAAAGATATACTTACACTCCATTGAAGATATCATCTAGTGTCTGCTTGGCTCTGCAGAAGAAAGTCAGCAAAATGAGGAGTACCGTTAATTAATTACAGACTCGGCAGGGTTCTCCGTCCAATTCTTTCTCAACTTCTGCTTCTGAGTCTCCGGTATATCATCCTGTAAGGTATCTAAGGGTCAGATCTTTGGGACGCTTCATATATGGAAGTAAATGCTTATCACATCAGGTGATGTTAGGTCCATCATCTCAACTGCGAGGATTTCGTCATTACTTTCAATTCCAACCTCCTCAGCTGTCTGCTCTGGATCAATTGTTCTTCCCATGTGAGTGAAAATGAAGGACATTGGCGTGGGTGGTACAGCTTTGAGGACTGTTGCTTCGGACGATGGTGCTCCAGGCTTGTTGGGGTTGGAGTTCAAACTTTCGACTGATGCGGATCCTGGGCCACCTGGTGTTATCAGAGTACTCGATATTTCCATTCGGCTAGTCCAAGCATTGAAAAGTCGTGAAAGCTTCGTCTTTCTGGAGATCTTGAAGAATAATTCGGCTCTATATCTGCACACCACCTTTACCACGATATCGGGGGAATTGGGATCTCTTGGAACTGGTTTCTTGATTGATGATTTCTCCAGCCGACGTTCCATTTCGCTCTTCATCGCGATGATCTGTATATGTCCGGTGGACGGGTTAAATGACGTAAACCTTCAAAACGTGGTGAATGGCACACCTCCTCTTGCGCATCCTCAAAGCTGATGGCCAATCGTTTGCTTTCTTCCTAGGTGTAATTTGATGAATAAGGTGCGATGGGCATACAATAATGTCTATGTTGGCGACA